ATGGAATCTTAGCACATCAATCGAACTACACCCAAAAGGTGTTACGACGTTTTAATAAGGATAAAACGAAGCCTTCGAGTACACCCATGGTCGTTCGGACTCTAGATGCTAAACGAGATCCCTTTCGTCCAAAGGAGGATGAGGAAGAGATTTTGGAACCCGAAGTTCCTTACCTAAGTGCAATTGGGGCTTTATTGTACTTAGCTCAGTGCACTAGACTTGACATTTCATTCGCTGTGAATCTATTGGCTAGATACAGCAATGCGCCCACACGCAGGCACTGGAATGGTGTTAAAGACATTTTCCGCTACCTCAAAGGTACTACGAATTTGGGCTTGTTCTATACCCGTGAATCTCCAAGTGTTGCCGCCCCCTATGACCCTCTGATTGATTCTCGCCTTGTTGGTTATGCAGATGCTGGATATCTGTCTGACCCACATAGAGCACGTTCTTAAACGGGTTATGTCTTTACCGTTGAAGACACCGCTATATCTTGGAGGTCTACCAAGCAAACGCTAGTTGCGACTTCGTCTAACTATGCTGAGATTATCGCCCTATATGAAGCATCACGTGAGTGCTTTTGGTTGAGAGAAGTTATGGAACATATTCGAAGCACTAGTGGTCTTACATCAGTCGTTGACCTTCCTACGACGATCTTTGAAGACAATGCAGCATGTATCGAGCAGCTGAAGAAGGGATACATCAAGAAAGACAACACCAAGCATATAGCACCAAAATTCTTTTACTCATACCAGCAGCAGCAGCATCAGAACATTGAAGTCAAACAAATCCATTCCCAGGACAACCCAGCCGATCTTTACCAAGTCATTGCCCAAGTCTACATTTCAGAAGCTCGTCCAAGGAATCGGTATGCGTAAATTATCTGAGTTGAATCGCTTGTAGTTCTCTTATTTAGAAGTTATGTCTAACTCAGAGGGAGTATATAGAAGCATACTCATATGATCTTAATGTACTATTTTTCCTACGATTAAGAGCATTTTTGCCACTGAATTTTTGCTACCTAACAAGGTTTTAATGAGTCACCCATCCTGGGATGATCAACTCCGATGAGTTCACTACCTTCGTCCAGTTTGACGAGTGTTTTAGACATTATGCATATTTTCTTACTTTTCTCCTTAGTCTATGGGTTTTCCCCATCCCTTGGGTTTTACCATAGCAAGGTTTTTGTGAGTTTTTACAAATGCATACTTCAAAGTAAATTTGAGACTCGCGATCATCCGTTGTGCCGATGACTTCATCAACTATTATACCTTATCTGCTGAAGATCTGATACGACAGTTTGTTGAGTATTTACACACTCAAAGGGGAGTGTTGCAGTCATATTTAGAATATGAATGTGATTGTGTAAATGCTAGGGAATCTGGGAATGTATCTTATATTCCTATTAGGATTTAGATTACCTATTAAATGTTGTAATCCTAAAGGGAAAGGTTTTACCCTTCCTACTACTATAAATAAAGTCACAATGGGGCGAATCAAACACACATCACAATTAAATCAATTTCTCTTCTCCCTAAAGCTCGCCGCACCCTTCTCTCTCTCTAACCCTAGATCGCTTAATCAAATAGACCTACAACAGACAGTTCTTCTTTTAAGAGGCCATATACATTTGCTCCAGCATATAATTTGAAATTAAGTGGTCCGTTTCTCTATAATTAGTCCACATGTGCACTGTCCACACACGTGTATTTGTCATCACAATAAAGCTAAAGTATACCAATTTGTCTCTAGCTAGCTTAGCACAAAGATTAGTAGGATTTTATACTTGTTTATTCAAAGTACCAAATTTCACATGTCCCCCTTCGTTTCTTAATTATTTGTTTAATTATGCTAATTAAGGTTTTGGGTCCAAGAACCAACCCGATCGCCGGTCCACCCGAGAAGGGTCCCCAATCTTTACTGCATATCTTCCAAAGTAGTCACCACTCTTTTCGTTTTTTATCAAATCGTATCTTTCTGTCTCATATTTTACAAATATTTGAAGCCATTTGTTAAGTTGGAATCCTAAATATAAAATATAATAAAATACAAATTGTTAGAAAAGTAATGATAATTTCAAGTTAATTTTGCTTACTTAGTGATGTGTTAGCTTAAGCATTGATTCATTTCATCTGGCCTTTATATATATGCTTGTAAAGTTTAAAGATCGATGGTAGGGTTCCTCGAAAGAATTGGTAGAGAGTACATTGAACATGGGATCCAATTTCTATAAGAATATTGGGATGGCTTTAAGCTACATTTGTTATCATTTTGATGTGCAGGGTGCAAGTTAATGATTTTATAAGATCACCTAGTGTGTATACATGTGATTCTAACACAATTTTAGTATTATTCTATGCCTGCATTGAGATAAGTATTGCAGAAACGGATCAAATTCCGACAAAGATATTACTAAAACACTATAAATTTGCTTCAAGTCCATATTTAATTTTTGTAATGCATTCCTAAAAAATTTAAATTAAATTTCATAAAACGTTAAAATATCTCTTATAAGCGCACTCTAAAATATATATTAAAAGCATACATTATATTGAAGAATCATTTTTAACACTTTAGAAAGCCACACACACACACACATATATATATATATATTCATGAATTGTAAAATATAAGGGAAAAAATTGCATTTTGATAAATGAAATATGACCGTCTTAAAGTGTCAATAATATCTTCTTTCTATTGGATTTTTTTAGGTTGTAGATTGTAAAAACACACATACTATGTGTTTTAAGTGTAATTCTTTCGAAGGTTGTGCTATTCACACATTTCTTTTTATTTTTCACATACATGTTATTTTTGTTCATTGATATTCTTCAATTAATTTGATCCGACGGTCAAAAATTAAGAAAAATGTATGAAAAGTAAAAATAATTGTGTGGAAAGCATCACCGTTATTTGAACGGTTCACAATTTTCATCAAAAGATGTACAGCGATTTGTTCAGTTTCTTGTGCAAACTTTTCTACCTTTAATCGTAGAACAACATTATCTGTCATATATGCAACGAAAAGCTTTATATGTACAACTTTTTATGCTCTTTAAATTTATTTTGGGCAAAGTTAATTGTAGTGGTTGCATTATTTCGATGATCACGAACAAAAATAATTGAAGGAGATTGTAGGACTATCGTGCTTTCTGAGCCGTCTGATAGCACTACATCATGGCTCTTCATGTGCCACACAACCCTACACTCCATATCTGAATCCTCTTCAGAACAGAAGCATCATTGCAACACCATGATCAACCTCCTCACCAAATTGATATCGAAAGAGTCGAGCACTGAAATACGGACCTTGAAAGTAAGACAAATGATCTTAACCGCTTGAGTTATAAGTAGATTGCCTCGTTAATTGTTAAGGGTTATTTAATAATCATTTTTCCTTCAAAAAAAAATAAAGTCATTTTGTTTTGAACGAAACTGTTGATATACAACGGTAGAAGAGGAGACCTCATGGGAAGGCTTATGAGGACGACTGCATGATAGTCCTACTCACTGGAAACTAGCGCGAAAGCGAGGGACCGACTTTCTCAGAAAGGGAGACGCTCCTCCTGAAGTGGCCGTTGGTGGAAATTGGAATACCGTTATGGTCGGCTGCCGTTGGACACGTGTTGACATCGCCTCGATCAGCAACCACATCTTCTTACCGCGCTTTGACGCGAGTTTGTCGGAGAAAAGCGGCATTTCTTGGAAGCCTTAATTTGGGAACACATGGTTCTTTCAATGCTCACGACTCATGAGATGATGATAAGTTTAGGGCTTGATTAATTCTTTAGAGCAAGTCCACCGGTGGTGGATTAGGCCAGCACTCAGCACAAAAAACAGGCTGGAACCCTGTCCATTCACCCCAGCCCACAAAACAGCCTGGCACCTAGCCCAAGTTGGTTAGATTTTTTTTTTTAAAAAAATACAGTAAAATTTTAAAAAAGTTATTATTTTTTCTATAAATACCTAACCCTCATCTTCCACCTTACACCACATTTCAATATTTTCTACACCTTCTACCAAAGCTTTCATATACTTTTTGTGTGAAAAAAAAATACCAAAAAGCTCATCCTTAATTTATTTGATGAGTTTATGTAATTTTATTTTAGTGTGTTTTTTTTAAGCTTATTTGATGAGTATGTAATTTTATTTTAGTGTGTATTTTTTTTAAGTTTATTTGAAATTTTATCCGAAATTGGTTAAAAATCTTATCCGAAATAAACTTAAAAAAAAAACACACCAAATAAATGCGTTGGGTGCCAACGTATTTTTTTAGGGGTGGAGATGCCTTGGCCTATTACTGTTCACTCCAGTCTATTACTGTTCACTTGAGTGGATAAATATGCTAGGTGCTGGTGCAAAGTCCTTAGGGGTGAACTTGCTCTTAAGCCTTACAAAATAGTACAATAAAATTATTTGATCACGAAATATTGACATACTTATTGACACACTATATAAGAGGTGGGTCATACTATTGTATATTGTCTCTATTTGTATTATAAAGCGTGTAAAAAATGTCTGTTTTGTGTTTTCAAATAACATCACCCGGAAATATATTAAGACATTTTGTTAAGTTCTTGGCTTAAAGTGTGGATATCATAAATTTAATCATTGATAGATAGCAAGACTGATACACATCCTTCTGCTCATGATAACAAAATGAGACAAGGACAAAAAGCAAATGCGCTTGACATGAAATTTTTTAGCAGGGCTACATATACTAGAAGATATGAATATTTGGGCCAATTCACGTTAAGAAAATGACTTGTTATTTTTTATACAAAAGTATATATTCATAATAAGAGAGCCAGAAGATTAAATATTAATATTAAATTTGTCATTTACGAAATTTGATTGAATTGTACTAAGATAAAAGCCCACAAAAATATTTGGGCCAGTGATGAAATTTTACGAGCCCGTGGCTTTCAACTCCAATGCCAAGATTGCAATTTGCAGTCCGTAACTGCCCCCCCCCCCCCCTCCTTTTACCCGCCAAAACCCCATATTCTTCCTCTATCAATCAGTCCAAACGACCAACAACCATGGCGATCAAGCTTCTTGTTGCTTTGCTCTGCGTTCTCTTCTCCACCGCCGCTACACAACCGTGTTATCCTCCGTATCCCCAAGAGCTCATCAATTCAATGGGACCCACTCTCTCACCTTCTTCTTCTTCATTCCCTCCGACCCCAACAGCCTCAATCGAGTCAAACCCAACGACTCCCGTCGTCCCGGCGCTCTTTGTCATCGGAGACTCACTGTGGCACCAACAACTTCCTCGGAACCTTCGCCCGTGCCGACCGCCTCCCCTACGGGCGAGACTTCGATACCCACCAACCCGCCGGGAGGTTCTGCAATGGCAGAATCCCTGTCGATTATCATGGTAATGTTGCTTCTTTAACCATTTTCTTGCTTAAATTCTAGTTTTTTTCATCTGTTTTTTTTCTTTCTAAATTCTTGATTCATTTAATTGTATTTTTCTTCTAAGAAATGCAGAGGCTGCGAGGAGTTTTTTTGTTGTACTTTAGCCTGTTATCTCAACAACTTATAAACTCACAGTTGAACAATTTAAAATACAAGAAATAAAGACACCAAGAGAATTACGAGGTTCGGCAAAAACCTGCCTACGTCCCCGGAGAGATATTGCTCTTCACTATGAGAATAACTAGTACAAAATATACATGAGTTAAATTGACATAACCCAAACCCCAATCTCTTTTACACTCACATAATTTTTCCAAGAGCCTCACTCTCCCCAAGAGTTTCTCACTCTCACTCTATTTTCTTTTCCCTCTGTGTTTCCGGATGCACTCCTACTTTTTTTTCACACTCGGAAAGCATTCCTTTTATATCCAATGCAAGCAATTCCTTGCATTTAAATAAAAGCCATCATTTTCATCCCCCAGCTATTACGGCTTCCATGATGATTATGTCTCCAAAGTAAAAAGCAAACCTTGCTTTTCCTTTATCATTCCACACGCCACCTTCACGTGAAGAATGCAAATGAAAACATAAAGTAGACCTTTTTCATGCATAGAAAGCATACATATTTACGTGCAAACAAACACAAATACAACACTTTGCTACAGCCATTTCCTTATAGCACATAAAGCTAAACTATCAAAATTGTTGCCAACTCAAACTATGAGCCAATCACAACAATCTCCACCTTGGCGAATACACCATGCAAAAATCATTGCACCCATCACCAAAGCTCATTGGCCTTACGTATCAGCATACACACCCTGAATCAACCTCGTTGGTCCTGTTCCGATTCAGTCACTGCCAATGCATGTGCAGCTGCTGCAAGCTAAAAAACACCATTTAGCTTCAGACAGGATCTCGACACATCCTCGTCTCCTCCTGTAGGATTTTCCCCTCTTTATTGTCTGCAACTTGGAAACTCGTCAGTGCACCCGTTTTCAGCAACAACCCATCGAGCCAGACAAAATTCCCCACACTTCTCTTCCTTCAGGACCATCTCATCACCTGTGAATCCCATAGCTCCACCTGCTGCAAATCCCTTGCAACACTCGAGACTAAACATCACCAAGAGAAGTGTTGCTTCGAGTACCTAGAGGGCATACTCGAAGTCTTCTGCCACAAAATTGCTACTACTCGGACCAAGATCATCCTTTCTTTCTCAAAGGACAATTTATCTTTTTATGCCCGAATTCTTTACAGGCGTAGCATTGTAGACCCTTACCTCCGGAGCTTGATTTGGACCTACTGTCTCTCTCAAAGCCTCCTTTCATTTTTCTTCCACCATTCCCACCTTGAACAGCTAATGCAGTCTCGTACCCATCATCAACAATGGTCTTCTTCTTTTGAGTATCATAAGACACCAAAGAAGCCTGCACCTGCTCCAAACTTACTGTATCTTTTCCATGCAGTAAAGTTGTCACAAGATTCTCATACGAATCTGGGAATGAGGTAAGAAGTAAGAGGGCTTTATCTTCTTCCTCAACCTTGACATCAACTTTCCTCAATTGATCCAAGTATCCGTTGAACACATTCATGTGGTCCATGAGATTCCCACCTTCATCCATCTTCAGCTTGTACAGCTTCCGCTTCAGATGTAACTTGTTGGTCAAACTCTTAGCAATATAGAGTTTTTCCAACTTCTCCCAAAGTGCAGGCACATAATCTTCATCCATAACATTATTGATAATGTTATCAGCTATACAGTGTCGAATCGTGCTAACACAACGCGCCTCCAGCTCCTCCCACTGGTCATCTGTCATTTCTTGAGGCTTCCCCATCTTTTCCCTTCAAAGCTCTAGCCAAGCCTTGTTGAGTCAATTCATCCTTTACTCTCATCTGCCAAAGAGTAAAACTGCCTTTCCCATTAAACTTCTCAACTGAAAATGACATGTTTGTAGTCATCATGGTGAATAACAAATCTGGACCTTCGATGAACCAAAGCTTCCAACAAAGCTCTGATACCAATTGTTGTACTTTAGCCTGTTATCTCACCAACTTATAAACTCACAGTTGAACAATTTAAAATACAAGAAATAAAGACACCAAGAGAATTACGAGGTTCGGCAAAAACCTGCCTACGTCCCCGGAGAGATATTGCTCTTCACTATGAGAATAACTAGTACAAAATATACATGAGTTAAATTGACATAACCCAACCCCAATCTCTTTTACACTCACAGAATTTTTCCAAGAGCCTCACTCTCCCCAAGAGTTTCTCACTCTCACTCTATTTTCTTTTCCCTTTGTGTTTTCCGGATGCACTCCTACTTTTTTTTCACACTCGGAAAGCATTCCTTTTATATCCAATGCAAGCAATTCCTTGCATTTAAATAAAAGCCATCATTTTCATCCCCCAGCTATTACGGCTTCCATGATGATTATGTCTCCAAAGTAAAAAGCAAACCTTGCTTTTCCTTTATCATTCCACACGCCACCTTCACGTGAAGAATGCAAATGAAAACATAAAGTAGACATTTTTCATGCATAGAAAGCATACATATTTACGTGCAAACAAACACAAAGACAACACTTTGCTACAGCCATTTCCTTGTAGCACATAAAGCTAAACTATCAAAATTGTTGCCAACTCAAACTATGAGCCAATCACAACATTTTTGATTTTCTTGGAACCCCAAATGGAAGACATCTAAAAATTTAGGGAATTTAACGAAAAACTCTGATATTGTTCACTTTAACAAAAAATCATATTTTTACACTAAAAAGTTAATCCTAATACTATTCACTTTACCCTTTATTTTGTACTTATTGTTAAAACTCAAAGTTTTCAAGCTATTTTCATTGGTTTTCCTAAAAATTTAAGGATTTTTGTCCACCAATTTTCATTTCGTGAAGGAATTTTCTGATGAAATTTTCTATCAAGATTTTCTCTCATAAGTGTTTTTCTCTCTGGATTTCTCTTTCTATCAGCACTCCGTCTCGGGCTTCCTTTCGTACCAAGTTATCTTGGACAGAACGGAAGAGTGGAAGAGATGATTCAAGGATTGAATTTTGCGTCTGCCGATGCAGGAATTATATTCACCAGCGGCTCAGAATTGGTAGTGCAGCATACTTCATTTCCCCCCAATCATGCGTTTATATGTTTAATATAATCTCTTCATTTAATATGTTTAATGTAGCATTTAAGGCTTCTTAATTCGAGTGTTGATGTAGTTTTTTCCCGCAGGGTCAACATGTTTCCTTCAGTCAGCAAGTTCAGCAGTTCACAGACACCTATCAGCAGTTTATAATAAGTTTGGGGGAGCAAGCTACAATTGATCTCGTCTCAAATTCTGTACTTGCCCTGGGGTTTCAATCAGTTTTTAGCATCCACATTGAGGCAGGAAATTAATGTGATCTTTCTAATCACGCTCAATTAGTTTCCCAATTCGGAGTTTTACCGATTACTCAGAGATTTCTGTGTATTTTGATGGTGCAGAACTTGTACAACATAAATGTGATGAAGGTGGTAGTAATGGGGCTCGCACCGATAGGCTGTGCTCCTCACTATTTATCTCAGTACGGAGTGAAGGATGGACAATGTATTGAGGAGATAAACAACATGGTAATGGAGTTCAACTTTGTGATGAGGTATATGATCGAGGAGCTCCGCGAAGAGCTTCCCGCTACCAACAGCATCTTCTGCGATGTGTTTGAAGGTTCCATGGATATCATAAAGAACTTTGTGTGTTACGGTGAGAGGTTTTCTAAACTTGTTAATTCCTATCAGTTACCGAAAAAATTCTTAGCAGGGAGTCTGCATACTAATGATGTGTGAATTTTATGATCTTGTTCAGGTTTCAATGAAACTACTGATGCTTGCTGTGGGTTGGGGGAGCACAAGGGTTTTGTTATGTGTTTATCACCGGATATGGCATGCAATGATGCTTCTAATCATGTCTGGTGGGATCAGTTCCATCCAACTGATGCGGTCAATGCCATCCTAGCTCATAATGTGTGGAATGGCCTGCACACGAAAATGTGCTATCCAATCAACTTGAGGGATATGGTAGTATCGAGCTCCTATTGATTCGATGGAGAAGCTGCAGCAATGGCCGTACTCTCTATAAAACAAAGATCAAACAGAGAAGCTCCTCGAAATTTTTGGTACTATACTTTCTGCATCAACTGCTTACAACATTAAATCGTACAATTCAGTATACAAGTGACATTACTAAAAGTGCATTGTATATGTTTTTCCTTTTGGTAATGCAATGGGATCCGATTTAGAGGTAGATGTTATTGTCGTCTTCATTGTCTGTTTTCATCACGAAACTAGGAAATGATGTCGTGATGTCCCTGCATTGAATGAAAAATTCTATCAGCTTCGACATAGCGTTTTGATGGTTGTAAGGTTTTACTTGAATTGTAATGAAACAGAAAATTAGATATTGGCAAAGGTGGAAATACTTGAGGTATGGAATTGTCATGTTCTTCAATAAGGACGGATTGCCATTCACGAGCTCATTCCACTCTTCAAGATCAATCTTTCCGTCTCCCTTTAAGTCTGCTTCCTCAAATGTCTATAGAGTTTCAAACCAAAAGATGAACTTATTCGATAACTGATTACATGCAGCCTTTTAAATCTTGCATGTCTTACCTTATCAATTATCGCTTCAACAATGTCATCAGACAGGATCAAGTCCGACTCTTTCAAAAGCGCGAGAACCATTTCTTTCACCTTTCATAACGTACCTCAAACGATTAGTACTTTATCTGTATACATCTACTAATTCAATTAAATGCTTGGAAGTAAGATTTGATACGTCTTCTCAAGGTGTTTGCTTTCATCATTTCATTAAACTTAATCATTTTGTTTACCTCTTCGCGTTCGATGAAGCCTGTCTGCCATATATCATATAGCTGATATGCAACTGCCAATCATATGCCAACTTTTTTATGCAATCTTTCATACTCATTGCCACATGCATTCAAATGAAAGAAAGAAAGAACAAAATCTGCAGGGTTTCTTACATGCAGCCTTCTCTGCTTGGGGTGCTTCCGGGTGGAACACGCTCAGACATCGAACAAACTCTTCGAATCCTATCACCCCATCACGTTTCGTGTCAAACATATGGAAGACCTATTAGGTTAAGCAATGCAAATATGAGTTGTCCCAAAAACAAACAGAGTGTTTTCACTGGCAGTAAAAGATCAGCATTCCGAATTTAGAAAAACTGAGGCCACGAAGCTCACCCTATCTGCAAACAGACTTTGTGTTTTGCTGTTCCTGAACAATCCGAGCTGAAACTCTTCCTGGACACGACGCGTAAAATGATACTGAATCACCGGATGAAAATCTTACAACGAGTAAATTAACTTATAGAAGAGATGAAGCTTATTACTTTGCTTATAAGGCCATCATCAACTATAGAACTGCTCAACTTCCTGAACAACTCGTACAAAGATTTAACCTCATTTACCTTAACTGCAAAAAACAAAGAATGTAAATGTACACAGTAAATTCCAATTAACAAGTCAGTTTAATTAAATGAAGAAGCTTAATTACAGCAGGTTTGAGAAGCAAGAACTGCTGCTAAGTTTTCACATTCAAGTCTCTGCTTCATGCAAACACAGCCCATTCTAAACGCTTTACGTGATCGAAAAACTGTCTTCTGTTGGAAGAGATTAGTACAGAATGATCTTAAATGTTTTGAAAAAAATCTAGAGTCGAGAGAGCCTGTGCAAACGCGGACTCTGCACGTTTCTCTGACGGTTCATGAGCTTGCAACGTGAGAGCTTGTTGGGGAGGGTTTTGTAGTTGTACAATACAATGTGCCTTAGAAACGGGTCACATTATATAACCCTATAAGCGTCACACTTTGCCAGCAAGGAAGCATGTTTACCCTCACTCTTTGTTTCTATTGATTTATGGGATGGAAAACTATATGGAGTTAGTGCCAGAAACATGTTTCGAATTACTCAAGTGACAAATCTTGTTAACTTTTTTTTTTTTTTTTTTTTATAGAGGTGGCACGTTACAACTCATGTATAAGTTCACATATGAAGTTTTCTCAAAACACTAGCAGAACTTACCGTTTGTGCTTATGCTTCAAAGACTGAATTCAAATCTCATAAACGACAGTTACTGGATGACCAACGAAAGTCAAATATTTTGTATGGCTTATGTTGAAACAAGTGTTTGGCGAATGGTATGATGACGACAATATATGGGCAGATGCTAATGTGACAATTAACGAATAATTCTGTAACAGTTACATACGTTATTGGCGTGGATTTATGGAATATTATATGAAAAAAGAAGGGTAAATATAGTGTGAGGGCTTAAATATCTGAGCTCACCAATTAAATTCTAACTTGTAACTTGTAAACATTTACACATGCATTGATTGAAGACCAACAAAGAAATTCCCTAGCAATGGTCATTGTTTTCGGATTTGGAATTTTGGAATCTGGTTCTTCTCTTTAACAAGTTCTCTTGGAAAAACAATCCTTGTACAATAAATCTTAGGCTGATTTTAAGAGACGTGGACGTAAACGTCGACAATTAGTTTCTGCTGATTGATGTGAGTTTCTCGATAATTAATCATATCAAATTAGGTATCCAGTTCGAGTGTTTTCCTAAAAACATAAAATGATTGATTGATAATATCTTAGCGAAATTTGGAATCTGTTGCAAAGGCAGAGGTGTACCAAATTCGGCTATTTTCGACAATGTTTTCACCTGACAATTCCTGGCACCCTACAAGAACAATGGGTTAACGAAGACAGATCAATTCCCTTTTGTTCTTGGGTACAATTCAATTCCATTTAAAGAATGGTTAGACCAAATGGCCAGGGGGAAAAATTCTCACTCCGGCTCTAATCAAGCCTCGGCCAAGGAAGATTGTTTATTTGGCCGAAGAAGAAGTTAGGCCACCTATTCGTTCGGCTGAGACAAAAAATTTGGTTGGCTTAGAAGAACATCTTCGAAGTTTAACTCAAAAGATGATTTGTCAGAGCAATGTTTCAATGACGAATAGGGCCGAAACACGACCTCCGATGCAAACACCATGTCAATCAATATGGTTATTGGAGATAAAGCTGATGTGGAACAATTCCATTCAGCTAAACTGTTTGGGTTAAAAGCCAAATAATAGCTCAATGCGTTTGGCGTTCAAGAATAAAAAGTATTTGACCAAGTCAAGAATATTTGAAGATGATTCTTTATTCAGCCTGAAGCGAGATTGGATTGAAAACGTTGCCATAAAAAGGTCTCGACTGGTGAAAAAGTATCGTTGGCCTCCTCCTCATCATAACCTTTATTTTCATTTGCTCAAAAAATAATAACTTTTATTTCCTTTACCATTCGACTGCACAAACTGATACTCAAGAAAATAAGGGAGGCAAAACAGCATGCTCACCAGTTAAAAAAAGAAAAGAAATGACTTTAACGAAAAGTTTCCGGGTACTGTTCACTTTAACGAAAACTATATTTTTACACTAAAAAGTCAATCATGATACTATTTACTTTACCCTTTATTTTGTCCTTATCGTTAAAACTCAAAGTTTTCAAGTATTTTTTTATTAGTTTTCCTTAAAAATAAAAAAAGATGCGGTCGAACAAAAGAAAAGGGTTTTTTGTTTGGAGATGCTGTCTTCAAGAAGAGATAGTTGACTGCTAACCCATGAGGTTTTACATGAAGCATGCCTACTTTTGGGCTTCGAAATGTGAGTGAGCCTGTGTGTTAAATTTTTGGGCCCCAACACACACAAGTCATCGAGCCTCTCACACCTCTTTGAACTAAATTAAATTTTCTATTGTGGGAACATAATTCTTAGTTTATTTCTTTGACCACACCAATTGGTGATATGTGACCATACTGACAAAGTTAGTGCAACATGGAGGATGGAGGTAGGTAGAGGGCATGATGCAAGTCGTGAGAGAGTTTTTGTGTATGAAATCGGTCGGCGAACATGACTCATAGATCGAACGTCAGTACTTAAGGAGAGGTTTTCCAATGTACTCGAAACACAAGTTGATATGTGATGTGTTATAATACAAGTGAAAAAACGCTTATATTATGACACATCGTGTACTGATTTGTGTTCGTTCTGAGTACATGAAAAAATCTCTCATACCCTTGCATTCCACTCTCCTTAATTTTGCCTCCTCTCAAAAGAAAGACTTTTACGGGACAGTTGGGCCGTTGAATCATGTGGGCCTAAGAGGTTAATAATGGAGATATTTTGAGACCAGAAAATTGCTATGATTGGGCTTACAGACTTCAATTTCTTTTGGGCCTTATCATCTCGTTGGGTGGTAAGCGGTAACAAACGCTTCCAAGTATCCGAGTTGCGAACTCCCTGGCGTCGATCATGCCCCCATCGCTCTCTCCTCCCAAAAATACACAGACATGGCGGTCTCTCTCGTTCACCGGTAACCTCTCCGCTCTCGTCGCTTCCATTTCCTCCTTTCCAATTTTGACCTCTGCGATTCTAGTTATGTTCGTCGTCAAACAGCTGATCTCCAAATTATACAAAGTCGGATTTTTATTTCTTGTAATTTTTCGTAATTATTTGTTTAATTAGGTTTTAGTTAAGTTGCGAGCTCTTTGGTTGTACAATGGAGGTGGATTTAGTTGCAAGTGGCATACAAGAGGAAGAAGCTTTTGGAGTTGATGAGAATGATCACAATGTAAGCTTCAAGTTCAAATTTTTAATTTTTTTATTGAGCTGTTGCAAGTAGTTTTCATGCAATTGAAACTTTATTCATTTTTTTAAGATTTTAGGCTCCTTTTCTGGAAATTGGACGAAATTTTCATTTTTGGAATTTCAATTACTGAATTTTCATTGAGACAGTTGGAGCTAGTGTTAATCGTGACCTGCTTGTTCGTGGGTTTAGATACACAAGTTAAGTGTAGCTGCTTGGTTTCGTATCTGTAAGAGATTAACTTTTTTATTTTACTGTCATAATGTGCAGGACAATCCTAATTTCGAGGGTGAAACATGTGGGATATGCATGAATGCTATTATCGACAGGGGTGTTCTTGATTGCTGCCAGCACTGGTATGTGTTTTAGACTGTGGCTTTGTCTCTGTGGGTGAGAGAGAGAGAGAGAGAGAGAGAGAGATTAGAATTTTGTTTTATGACATGGGTTCATCTTGTGGTTTTCCAGGTTCTGTTTCGCTTGCATTGACAATTGGGCTACCATTACAAACCTCTGCCCGCTTTGCCAGAATGAATTCCAAATGATCACGTGTCTTCCAGTGAGTGGTGCAAATAAAAAGTTTTCTTCTTTTTTCTTTGTTCTCATCCTCGTTGTATTGTTTTAGTATTATTTCCGTTATGAACTTATGCGTGATATGGATAATAGAATTATATTAATGTACAACTTTTTCAAAGCACAGTTGTTTTGATTTCTAAACTGTCTGTTTTCGATAGTGTTCTTTTTGTTGCAATGGAATTTTCTTTTTTTTTTGAAGTTTTCTTGAATTAGTGAGTTGATGCTGTTTCAAAGTGGTGCTAAAGCATATGAGTTTGATTCAATGTGAAGGTATATGATACGATTGGGAGCAACAAAGTGGACGAGGACTCAACTTATAGGTACTTTGGTAATTAAGGATAATACGTATTTTGGTAATTAAGGATAATGTGTTTAAGTATACTGGTGAGGATTTGTTCACATTTTTATGTGGCTTTGTCTCTTACACATGGTTTTCTTTGGCTTACTACTCATATGTAGCGTTCATATGAAATTTGAATTCAAGGATTGTGTTATAGAATTTGCAACCAAGACATTTGTTTTGTGAACAAGCTTCAACAGAGACTAATTTTTCAATATTCATCTGTGCAGTGATGATGACTGGAGTATTGAAGGGAAGAATAACACACTCTCATTTCCATCGTACTACATTGATGAAAATGTAATTATCCTTGCATGTATTCTTTTTAAACTATTCTTGCAATCCTCATAATTTCTTTCAAAGGTTTTTTTGTTAAACTTAGTGACCACTCACACCATTGTTTCCAAGAAGATTGTACGTCTTACACTTGTGGTTTTTTGTTCTAAATTTGTTTTCCTTAAACGATTCTACATGTGAATCCCATGAGTCAGGACCCATGAGTTATGAATTTTAGTTCGTTCCCCGGGTTTCTTACGAGCCATGCATCAATATCTTTTGAAGACCCAGTGCTTTGGTCTTACAACTGAGATGTGGTGTTGTGCTTATAAGCATCATTAGGGAAATATGTAGCCGTTCCCATTACATCAAGATGCATCCGAGAGGAATTGAATTAGTACTTTATACAGGATATATGCTTTCTTATACAGGAGTGTTATGTGCTCCATGAAAAATAATCAAATAACAAAAGCAAAAAAGACGAGTTTGGAGGTTAATGTGGCTCTAAACTAAAGTAATGGTTAAAACTAAGGCTAATGCTAGGTGTTGAAAAAGACTTTTCAAGTCATTCTCATTTAGATCCGATTCAGAAACCCCCGTTGTTTCCTTTTCTTCCCAAGGCTGTATGTCTTTATTTTGTCTTCACGTTTACCTTTCAACATTTGATCAGATGATATCACATTCTTTTGTTACTTTATCATTTTCTAGGCAGTTTCCTGCTTGGATGGAGATGGCTGCAAAATTCGAAGTGGATCAGTGGCTATTGAGGGAGATTCCAATCTCGATACATCAATTGCTTGTGATTCATGTGACTTATGGTAAAGAATCAAGCAATGTGATACATTAACTCTTTCCAAACTGATAAATGATTTTGTAAAAATATTGTTTTCTAGTTGCTTTTTGACGTGACTTGAGACAGGTACCATGCTTTCTGTGTGGGATTTGATCCGGAGGGCACATCTGAGAGTACATGGTTATGCCCCAGGTAAGTTACATGGTGATCATTCCTTTGTTCATGGGTGTTGCACTGT